ATAGTGATTCTGGGTGGGCCCTGTATAATCAGCTGAACCTGGAAATGTGCTTGTCTCACAGGCTCCTGGATGGCCGAGACTGCTGATCACTGGCCTCACTTTGCAAACCACTGCCATGCCACAAATAAGGAGGTGCTCGTCATTATTCTTCCCATTTCTACAGCCAGCCTTTGCCACTGGGTGGGAAGACATCTTGACTTTTGAAATTTAGGCTAAAATAAAGAGAAAGCACAGAACTTGCAGTACCACTCAACACAAATGCTTCTGATCATATAATTGTATGAGGGTGGACTCTTCGCAGAGAAGCAAAACTGGGCTTTCAACAATGGATGTTCTCTTCCCACTGGTGAGGGTGGCTTGGGGTCCCCAGGACATCGGGTTTCCCTCATGCCGTCACTTCCCGGCTTGCAAGTTTGTCTGCCCAGGCTGGCCTCCTGGGGGACAAGTGCTTCAGCCACTGCACCAATGTTGACAAATCCCATCACCCCACCCACCCCAGCTCGTAATGGGGCCAACAAACTGGGACCAGAAATAAGGTGTGGACTGAGACTTTGGGATTTCGCCAAGTTCAAGTAGAAAGACCATTGACAAATCCCTTGCCAGTGGCAATGAGGTTGTATAGGGATCGTGATCCTAAATTAGGGCACACGTGGAAATGAGAGCAGCCAAGATCACCAAGGTAAGGCTGTGCAATGATGGTGACCTGGGGAGGGCTCTGGAATTTAACTTGGTCATGACCAGAGTGGTGCACAATGCTATCTCAAGACAGTGGAAAAGTTACTTATTTGGGGGAATTCAACATTATCCTGTTATCCCAAAGTTATTCCTCATTGTTCATGATGGCCTGAGACTCGCTAATAACCTGACTAGGTGTGGGGTAGGAATCTAACTGGAAACATCTGTTAGACTTGCATGTGAAAACCAGGCCTTGTTTTGATTATTTTGCTCATAATCTTGAAGAACAGAGTGACTGTCCAAGTACATTTGTATTTAGTATCTGCAGAGTGTAGGTGTGTCTGGCTTTGTATTCCAAAAGAAAAAAATGACTGGTCTTTTCCATTAGAACCATGTGGGTCACCCCATAGTGGCTAGCTCTTCTCCTTTTCTTTTTTTTCTCCCCCTACAGGCATGTTGTGTGTCTTTCCCAAGCCGCTGCAGGTGACTGGTGGCTGGACTTCCCTTCAGTCCCAGTAATGAGGCGCGTCTGAAGTTTGTGAAGCCATAACCTACCGATACCAAGACCAGACCACTGCGGACACATCCACAGCACAGAGGTCAGGCGAGTTCAGATTACCGAGTGCAAAACAAGCCTGGCCCTGCTATGAAACAGCCAGTTCAGCAGCTGATTTAGGTGGGCGGAGGTGTGGAGGCTTTTTCCCTTTTGTAGGTGACTGGGGTCACTCCTGCTGCTGTCCCCTTCACCTTGGCCAAAGTGGGTAGCACTTATAACACATAGGGGAGAAAAGGCAGCCCGGAAATGGACTTTGGATCATAACAGAAAGCTGGGAACTCTGGCCCAAGGCTGGGAAGCCCCAAGCCACAGTGCCTGGCCCTTTCTACTGTAGGAACATCACAGCAACCATCTAGCCGGTGAGAGGCTTTGAGACAGAGACTAACTAGTAAATTTAGAAGCTGTCCCTTGCTGCTTCGAAGTGGGAAACTGTAGTTTCCCCTGGTGATTTACTTAGCAATAGTAACAATATATACAGCTTGCACTAAGAGCAGTGTCTTGTTCACTATTCAACAAATGCTTTAGGATCCTAGCAGGAATTAGGGCGATTTGTGAGCAGCGCTAAACTGCAATTTCTCTCAATTCAACTTCAGCTTTAGAGGAGCTTTTCCATTCTGGGAATGAAATGGAGTTTCCAAGGTGAAACTTGGGGTCTTTCTGTTACACGAGAGGAGGTGAGGACTACGAGAGTGTGCAAGGGGAATCCTGCTTGCTTGGGGTTCAGCTGTGTTAGTTCCCAAAATGAAAAATGATAACACGAAACCCTTAACATTTGGCACAAGTTTCTATTAGGCAACTTTTGTCACTAAAAAGTACAAATGCAGACTCCTTTGTAAATCTGATTTGCCATGCTAGGCCAAGCTTATTTTATTACATACATTCTGCATTCTAAGAACTAATAACTTCATATTGTAAACATTAAGCATACAGAGTTAAAATTCAAGGCCACATTATATCATTGATTGTCTCTTTTTTGTGTCATGTGTCTTTGGCTGGCCGAGATCAACTCGTAGTGTATAAATGCATAAGTTATATAATTATTATATAAAAAAGAAAAAAAAACCCCGTTGACTTGTATACTTTGTTCTGACAAACGCACAGCGTTCGCGACTCGAAAAGGAAAACTGGAGCCTACCTCTCTTGCACACGTGATCTCTGATTGTGGTGGCCACAGAGGCCATCTCTTACCTGACTCTGTGGGGACAGAGCCCCCATAATGCTGAGGTCCTAAACGTTTCTTTTAAATATCAGACAATTCCAGTTTAAATTTTCTTTTGACAAAGATAAAAAGAGATGCGCAGTTTTGGTCCTGAATTCCACTTTCCCCTCCCTCCATGAGGCTGCGTCCTTCCTCCTAACACTGGCTTTGGTATAACACTGACTACTTTAGACCACGGGGCCCCACTGCTCACTCTCCATGGCCTCAACTGTCCTCAACCCAGAGTTCCTTCCCACTTCCTCCTCCTCCTCCTCTTCCCCTTCCTCCTCTTCCTCCTCCTCCTGTTTCTCCTCCTCCTCCTGCTTTGTGTCCGTCACACACTCACTCTCTGTTCACATCCTCAGTCCAACACCTGGCTCATGGTTCCTGAAATACTGCAGAGGGGATGGAAACTGGTCGTCTTCACAGTCGGAGAGGGCTGCTCGCTTCCCTTCGAAGGGGGTGAGTCCAGTTCCAACCCAAACAGCAAGAGGCAGAGTCCCACACCAGCTTCCATGTGGGGCCAGTCTCTCTCTGGTCTTCTGGTTTTGTTTCGGGTTTGATATGTTTCTGTTTTTAAATACAGGTAGTTTTCCTTCCGTGACACTCGGCCAAGACGGTGTTACCTCTATTGCTTTAGTTGGATCCCAGTTCTCATGAGCCGGACCCCAAACTCTACTCTATGGCTCTACACTATTAAGGCCACACCCTCCGGCACACGTGCTTTCGACTTCATGCTTCCGCGTCCTCAGCAAGGGTGGCCGCAGGTGACACGTCCGTGTTCATTACACTTCGAGCATCCGTGGTGTCTCTAGTAATACTTTAGTGACTCCCTCCCGCTGTGAGTCTTTAGGACTCTCTCCCGGACCCCTTCCCAGCCCCAGCCAAGTTACTCTTCCCTCTCGAGGCACTTCTGACCCCTGTTGTCCCATAGAGTCCTTGGCGATCTGTGGTGGCGGCCCGGGGGCAGGAGAGGCCTCCGTGGGGTCACTAGTAGTAAGTGCCCAGGTGGGAAGGCATGTGGCCGGCAGGAAGCCGAGTGTTCGGGTAGATGCCCGCAGTCGGGGAATTCCAGTACGGGTTTGGGGCAGCAAAGAAACTGGAGGAGGTGACAGGGAGGGCGGGAGGGTGGGGGGCCACAAAGTTCATCTTCTGCGGGTGGGCGTGGTAGGAGCCCATGTAGGGCAGGTCCGAGGGGTACTTGTAGAGGGACGACTCGGGGGGGTGAGGCTGCAGGGCCTGGGCGATCCCGTGGAAGTCGAACTTGTAGGCGTAGCGCTTGCCATGAACTTTGGTCATGATGTTCTTGTCGTAGTAGTAGCGGAGGGCGCGGCTGAGCTTGTCATAGTTCATGTTGGGCTTGCTCTTGCGCTCGCCCCAGCGCCGGGCCACCTCGTCAGGGTCCGTCATCTTGAACTCCCCGTTGGTGCCCTCCCAAGTGATGCAGTTGGAGTTGGAGCTGTCGGACAGGAGCTCCAGAAGGAACTGCCACAGCTGGATCTGGCCGCTGCCTGAGGGCGACAGGGGACACACAGCGCCAGTGAGAACCAGTTCTGGGGGAAAAGTGGTTCCCGCCACAGAAGCGGGCGACCCGGTGAGCAGCCGGGGCCTGTGCTGTCCCTGGGCTGTGGCTGCTCTTGGGCCCTGGCTGCCCGTGTCCCCAGACAACTTGGCCTGGCTGGACAGGGGCTGCCGCGTCCACCCCAGAAACCCCACGGCCAGACCAACACAGGGAAGCACAGGCTGCCCTCTCCTCAAGGAGAGAACCAGCTGAAGGAAGCTCTCCCTCACGCCTTCCCTCCGGAGAAGACGACCTAGATGAGTAGCCTGCGCCGTCTCCTTACGCCAGCTCTGCATCTAGGAAACCTGGCCTAAGACGGCCACCGTCCTTTCCCACAGGGCTGAGCTAACAAACCTAAATCCTTGGTGCAATGGAGGCAACTCACGCCGGACAAAGGTCAGCGTGACTCCACCCATTTATGACTTCCTGCAAAGAGCAGCGAGATCAATCTGGAGTTTTAGGAATGAAAGAGCTATTTTTTTCCTATGTTTTGAGGCAGCAAATGCCCTTCTGGGGAATAGCATTGATGACTTTCTACCATTTATGTTGGCTAGGTCACGTAAAATAATAAAAGTCAGACTGAGGAAATGAACATCTAAACGTTTATGGAAAAAGATAGAGAATGGAAGTAAACATCATTATTTCTAACATAACATTTTGCTGGTGCTCACAAAACAATCCTGTCACAAGTTTTCCTAGAAGAGAATTAAGCCACTCAAAACGAGGAAGTTTAGAAAAAAGCTGGCTCGGTTCCAAGGAGATTGCCCATTTCTGGTACGGAAGCCAATGCATCCTTGTGGAAATCCACACGCTGCCCCATGTGAGCCAACTGTGTTAGGCAGAGGTTCCCAAAGACGCCCTGCACCCATGGGCCACGGCAAGCCTTCTTGGGCAGCCAGAGGAGAGCCTGCCTTGTCATAACTGTCCTTCCCCGAGGTCTCACTTAGCAGGGGTACAAGGTCCCACCGAAAGCCTATAGAGACAGCTTTAATGTCTCCTTCAAACGGGGAAATCTAAGCGCATCACTCTGGCCAGTGTTACAATACTTCAGTTGACCGAAGGGTTCCCAGGGGAGAGAAGTATGTAAACATGGACCTTCAAGTTGAGGGCCAGGAGAAGCTAAGTTGGTGAGTTACATAGATTTTAGGAGGTAAAAGTGGATGGAAGGGGATATGTGTTTCTTCCCAGACTCACTCCAACATCGCGGTGGGATTAGTACCCGGATGCCTTTTACAATGTGATAAAGTAGCATCAGTAGACGTGGCAACAGTGAAACGTAACTTCAACCCGTGACTCGCCAGGGAATCAACGAACTGTTAAAGTCGTTAATAATCGTTCTTCTCCTGATGTAAAAAGGTCTATAGCTCGCCAAATAAACTCTTAAGTCCTTGTTTCCGCATCGGCTACACGAAAAAGGACGCTCGCGAGCGTCATGCACACAAGAGCTTTGTGGGAAAGGTCAGCCTCTTTCGCACATGTATTGGGAAAGCATCATCTTCCGACCAGCAACACATTTGAAATGTATTAACAGCTTGTAGCTCGTCATGATGGAAGCCTTCGCTGCTTTCTCGGAACTATGTATACAAACTGCTCTCCCTCCAGTGTTGTTTCCTCTAACATTTCATTAATATGTATGATATGAAAGAGCCATATGGTTTTAGTAAATACATTGTAACCAGAGGATGAAAACTTGAAAAAAATTCCACAGATGACCCGAGAATAAGGAAGAACCATGGAATTTGGATTTAATAGTCTAACATATGCTTCCCTGTAAACATGTACAGCTGTTTGAAAATAAATATTCAGCGTTGACTTCCTTCCATAGAGAGAGCAGTTCCAGAGATTTGGTGTAAATACACAGCCCTGCGTAAGCAGCCAGAATAACACTTGGGGCCTGTTCAAGCCCTGGCCTCGCCTCTGAGGAATGTGGCCCTCGCCCGCTGCCCTTATAAACACATGCAGGAAGGTGGCCGGGGACAGAAGTGCCCTCCCATCTCTCTTGCTGCCGAAGAGCTGGACAGCGGGGGACCTACATGCACAGAGGGGAACTCAGAGCTCAAAGGGCCGGCAAGCTGGTTTTCCAAGTGGATGCCGTTCCCAGCAGCTTGGGGGACAGGGGTCTCCCGCCTGCGATGCAGAACTAAACGATCTGTGATCAAAACCCACCAGCTTCTAAACCTGAGACTAAAACCATCAACGTAAAAATCCATGAATGCTTAAGGTGATGCTATGAATGTAACACGCTATCAAACTCAGCCATGGTTACACAGAATATTCATTAAAAAATTCACTGCGCGCGTCACGTGTCAATCACCTTTTCTCACTGCGCCAGAATTCTCCAGGATGCCCCACGCTTGCTGGGAAGGCGCGGCCAGCAGAATACTGAATGAGTGACTCTTAGCCACCAAATTTCAACAGCATTCGTTAAAATTCTTACTTGACTGCCAAAATGATCGCATACGGCTATGCAATAAGGTGCACTTTAGGATAGGGAACAGGGCTTTAGAGACAACAATGCTTAGGGTTCAGGGAGGCCTAAAAGCGGCCAAACCAGTGAGTAAAAAGAGAAGCTCTTGAAAGACAGGAGCGGTCAGCCACCAGCACTGCCGCCTCCTCCTTATGAGTCCTCGGTTCTTTGGTAAAACCCTGCGTACTTTTCTCACTCTATCTCCACAACATCCTTGGGACATCAGGAAGGAGCAGCGAATTTTTCCCTAGAGTGGAAAACTAAAATAACAGGATTAAGGCTAAGGAAAAGGTGGCACATACTTCCTAGCTGCAGGATGAAAGGGAGCGGGCTGGGCTGTGAGCACAGAGGGCCATTCTCCCGCTGGTGGGAGAAAAGTGCTCTCCTGATAGGCCCAAGAGAGAAAGGTGTGCTGCTCCACACTCGGGAGTCCCTGAGTCCTGTAATACGACGACCACCTTAGTCGTGGAGATACCCAGAGGTGACATTGCTGGGTCAAATGGAACTGTGACTCAGTTGTTTGAGAAAGCAGCTTATATGCCCATCAACAGGTGGATGAAGAAAATGTATTTACACACAGTGGATGCAGGATGTAGCGTGAAATCTTTGCATTGAGAATGATTTAAAAGAGTTTGCATGAAGAACAGAGGCATCATTTGTTTTTTTTTGTTTTGTTTTGTTTCTGAGTTTGTTGTTTTTTTTTAACCTTCATGACTGGGGACTGAAGCCAGGGCCTTCCCACTGAACTCCAAACAGAGCTTTAAGCTTTTATTTTGAGACAGTATCTCACTAAATCACTGAGATACCCAAGTTGGTCTCCACCACACAGTGCTAGGATGAGAGGTGTGTGTCGCCAGGCCCAGCTCAACGTACTTGTTAAAGAATGAAAGATCTATTTATCAGAGGATGGCAAGATAGAGGGAGGAAGCACCCTCAGTAATAGATCAGAGAATCACAAAAGGCCACACACATACAAATAACACAAGGCTTACGGATAAATGGACAGAAAGCCTCACTATTCTAAATTAAATTCTAAAAATCTCGATGTTAAAGTTGCTTGACTACAAGTCCCACCCTGGTGGCCAGGACCTTCGGCCGGGCCTGGGACTGTGGCCATGTGCCTCTGCCTACAGCCAGCACCCTGGCAGCCATGCTGAGGAGGTGCAGTGTGCCTTGGAGAGCTGGCAGGACAGGTGACCTTCCCGGCCACATCCTCCAAACAATCAGCCTGACATGGAATCCACTCCATGTGTGAATGCAGAGCCAATGCTGTCTCGTCTGGGGCAGCTGGTCTCCTTCCTCCTTCTCCTCTACCTCCTCCTCCTCCTCACTGACTCCAGAGCCCTCTCCTGAACAACCCCTTGATGGGAGGGAAGTCCTTCCTTTCTGCCCTGTGGTCCCCATTCCCCAGGAGCACCCTCTTCCCTTCCTGTTCAGTAGGAGGCTGTGTGGGGTGAGAAGGCCCAGACTCAGGGAATGCTGCTTGGCTTCTCCGAGCCTCTCCAATCACTCTTCGGTGGGATGGATTTAACATCCGGGGTTGGTAGGAGGCCCAGAAGGGAGCCACAGGCTTCAGCACATCTATGGGGGGCAGCACCGGGTGGGAGCGGCTGGGCCGTTACTTCACATCATCATCGTGCTAACATTCCCAGAGCACTGCAACTTCCGAACTTTCCTCCTGTCTAATCCGTCCCGAGCGAGGCTGTCAGATCAGTCTTCCTGAAGCCTGACTGATTATAATCATCTCGAGACCACGTTTATTCTTTTTATTCCAATGGTCTGGATGTCTCCAAATGCAAATCCAAGGCTGAGCAGAGGTACGAGAGGAGCCCTCGCAGGGGATGTGGCCCCTAGTGGACACATCAGGGACACTGCGAGCAGGGCCGGGACAGTGTCCTCAGCACCCGTGTTCCTCTGCACCAAGTGACAGCTCCCCGAGCCAAAGACCTGTGTCTTTCTATCTTTGCCATTTTGTTGTTCAAAGGAAAATTGCCAAGCACCTAGTTCAGGCCTGGACTAAAGCAGCAAATGAAACAGTCCCTATAGCTGCCCAACTGCTTAACAAATACTCCTGGAATTAATTAACATCAAGCAAGATTCCACAGCCAGTTGCTCAGTAATGATGTTTCATGTTCTCAGAGCCTGCACTCTCCCGTGGGGACGGATGCCGAGTGAGCCTGAATTTTCTGTTGCGCGGCTGCTGTTTCCCAGCCCAGTTGGCCCGGCTGTGAAGGAGACAGGCATTCCCGCTTGCAGTGCGGCTGTGTCACCCTGGCAGGAAAATCTGCTGCGATTTTCTGAAACTGCTGCCAGCACAGCTGGTTCTGATCTGAATACAAATAAACGGAGCGATTGGGCTGGCACAGAAATGTGAGGACAGGTGACCGTCCTGGGCAAGGGACTGGCGACAAATGAGCCAACGAAGAACCTGCACTCTCTTCTCACAGGAACAGACACGGGAGACGATCCTACTTGGAAGTCTCCTGGCTGGGATTAAGAGTCTCTTTCTAAAACCTATCAGCTCATCCGTTGGGTGATGGGTTGAATTGCGTCCCTTCAAACTTCTTATGTTCAGGTCCTAATCCCAGGACCTCAGAATGTGGCCTCCAGGCAGGAAATTGAGTGGAGCGAGCTATGTTTCAACATGACTGTTGTCCTTGTAAAAAGGGGGAGTTTGCACATGAAGATGGACATACAGAGAGGAAAGACAGTGAGAAGAGACAGGAGGAGAGGACAGGCATCTATGAGCCCAGGGAGGACCCAGGATAGATCCTGCCTCACAGCCTCAAAGGGCTGCACCTGACACCTTGACCTCAGACTTCCAGCGGCCAGAGCGGTGAGACAAGGAATTTCTGTTATTGAAGCCACCGGGTCTGTAGTACTCTGTTATGGCAGAAAGCTGGAAGGCCATCATAGCTTGAGTTGGAGGCTTATACTCTTTGCTGAGGCTAAAATCTTAATGTATAACCTGTTTCCCCCCACACACACACACTAAGGAGAATAATTTAAGGAGACCTAAAACTAAAATTTGTTGGATGGAAGGAAATTTCTCACCAGTACAAGTTTTTCTTTCAAAATAACTGCTGCCCAAAGGGCAACCGGGTAAGAAAAGAAACACTGACAAGCTCTTACCTGGATTAGCAAGGCGGCTACTTGTTGGTCCAAGGATCTGATAAGGGTCTGCAACAGAACGGAAAGAAGTCAGATCCCAAAAACAAAGCGGAGACCCGGTGTGAAGTGACTTCTGGCCTGAAAATGCCCCCCACCCCAAAACCACCTGCCTCTGTCTCCTGCATGAGATGAGATGTCCCACAGGATCTGAGACATTTCTTGGTAGAGAGCGCTTGGTGGCAGAGGTCAGATTCCCCAGATTCTCAACACATGGCCAAAAACCTACACTGACCCCGATACACACAGGGGAAACGTGTGGAGTAGGCTGATGGTTTGGTCCATTTTGTCTATGGGGCATTCATGAAGAACACAGCGCTAAATCCATTTGTAGGTGACACACTGTACAAATCCCTGCCAAGCCTGCATCCACTCCACGGTTGTCCCCAAAACGTACCTAACTGGGGGCGCTGATCTTCAGTTTTGGGCACTGCAGAAGGAGATGGCTGAGCAGCTGAAAACCCAAAAGTAAAGCAGACCATTAGCTACAGCTCGGATCTGACCACCAGTCTTTGCTGTTATTGATCAAAGAATCATCTACCTCCACCGGGGGCTCTCGTGATTGACATAATAGCCTTATAGGAAGAAACACCTCATGGTGGGAAAATTTTCCTTTCCAATGAAATCAAATGCAGACATTGTAACACAAAAGGGCATTTCCTATTATATTAAAAAGATATTTCATATTTCTTCTAAAAGTAGAAAGATAATTGGAGGTGGTTTACAAGACAGATTATAAAGTAAGTCATAGTTTAAAATAAACACATAAAGGGGAACTGCTGGCTGAAATGAAGCCAAGGTTACTTCTATGCACAGCCAAACTAAGGAAACCACCAGCCACTTAACCTGCATACAAACATCCCATGAAGCATGCATTTTTCCACATCAAACCCCACAACCTCAGGCAGGCATAGGGGCACACGCCTGTAATTTCAGCACTCTGAGAGAATGAAGCAGGAGGATCACAGATGGAGAACAGCCTGGGCAACTTGGTGAGGCCCTGTCTTAAAATAGCACATTTTTTAAAAGGCTGGGAATATAGCTCAGTGTGAAGGTCCTGGGTTCAAGTCCCAGTACCTCCCCCCCAAAAAAAAAAGAAGAAGAAAAAAAAGGAAGGAAGGAGGGAGGGAATAAGGGAGGAAGGGAAGAAAGAAACGCTACCTCATTCATTGCTTTTTCTGTTATGTTTCTCTAATCCAAACAGAAAAGAATCGCTGCATTTAAAGATCAGTTGTGGCTTTTGCCAAGGGAACAAACCCTCTACGTCTTGAAGAATCACAGACCAAAGGCAGAGACTTATTTACGACAACATCAGTTACCCCAGCCTGTGACGCGCAGGTCTAGTACCTTTGGACTGGGGGGCGGGGTGGGCGTGGCCGGTCCAGGCAGATCTCCGAGGAGGCTCATAAGGTAAATCTGAAAAGACACACATGCGGACTCAAAACTCAAACATGCCATTTGTGCAACAGATATCTTGGTTTTTATACTGTGTCTCAGAATAACTGCTACATCACAAAATCCAGTAATCCCAAGCAATGTTCAACGTAGATTCCATCAGGTTTGGGTTTTATTGACAAATGAGTATTTTATAGATTTGATTGATTTAAGATCCTCTCCCTCATTCATCTGAAAACTCCCACTGGCAGATTCTTCCAGAGCTTGTGGACTCTCCTAAAGCATCTTCCTATGATCAGGGACCAAGACCCTACTGAAGTGGGTACAATTTTACACCCAACTCCTTTTTATCTTCTCAGCTCAGGCAGAGCAGCTCAACCCTGGGGGAATCAGCACTGCCTGTGTCAAGTCCGCCCCCAAGTCCAGCCAATGACCTCCATGCTCCTTTCCTTCCCCACCTCTTGGAAGTGATTACTTCCTTCTTACCTTTTATTTGTGAGTTGCTGTCTGCCCTTCATTTTCCCCTCCTGTTTTCCTTTAAAATCTTATCCATTTTATACTGCCCGTATTAACTGGTCTGGTTTTTTTCCCCCCTCCTGGCAAATGTTTACTTTTCCTTTTTTTAAAAAAAATGAATTTATAGAGTTTCTCTAAAATGAATCACATGAGAGGTAGGGATTTAGCTCAGTGGTGCTACCGCCTGCCTTGCAAGCACAAGGACCTGAATTTGATTCCCGGTACCGGTATAAAAAAAAAAAAAAAATTGCATGAAACAAATTACAAGACTGGGATATTATTACCCCCCCCATACACTAACAATAACCTTCAGAGCTTAAGTCCATGAGTGGTTTCCCTGTATTTATAACATAATATCACTTATCCCATAAACCTTCACTGTACTTTGCATATGCAAATCTAAAATTATACCACCACACCCCTTTTTGAGTCCTGTTAATGGTTATCAAGGCTCTAAATTATTTCAAGTTCCTTTCACATTTATATATTCCACAAACGTTATTATATGGCTACGAGGGATATGTCCAGCTACCTCCACCTGCAGTGTTACCACAGAGCCGTTCCAAAACGATGCCCCCGAGTGCACGGGTGCAGGTTCGAGGTCAAGCACAATCACTGCAGCCTGCTGCTTCTGGGGCCTTCTGCAGCCAGGCACAGGGTGGCAGCTATGCAAATTAACCGGAGGGCGGTTAATTATTAATGTGATTATTTTTAAGCCTCTCTTTAAACCTCATTGCAGCCTGACAGTTTGGCGGGTCCATCTTCACAGAGCCTGACTGTGTTGCAGAATAGGCGTCTCTTCCTATTTTCATATCCCAGAGAGGACAGGAAAGATAAGCAATCCGAAATCCAACCCAGAATCGCCTTAATGCATTTGGTCTGTTTGGCCATGAGCTCGCAACTCGTGTGGTCTGTGAAACCGGACCCTCTGGAGCTTTGAAGGGCTGGGCAATTTTTCTTTTTGAAACTCCGCTGTAGCTCACCCTCCCTCTCAGCTGGTGATTTTGCATTTCAGCATCTTTGGTTTTCCCACCCAGCCGCTCACAGCTTCACTTTTCTGGGGTTGGGACCGCACGTGGGATCGCACATGCAGCTGCTATCAAGTTACAACTGAGATTCAGCTTCAGTCCCTGGGAGCATTTTGCACAGGGATTCTCAGCCAGTTACACTTTTTATTTAAAGAAGGAGGGTGGCGGGAGAAATGGTTAGCCAGAGTTTAAATAAGAGACTTGTCTCAGAAAAACGTGGCTGTTAACAAGGCCACCCGCACATGTCGCCTGACTTAGAAGCAGAGAGGGCTCCTGTGCACAAAAGGCAAAGGCGACGCTATAGAAATGGGTCCTTGAGTTTTGCTGTCCAACTTGGCCCAGAACACTGAGGCAGCTGGGAGTTCTCTGGAAATCCAGCACCCTACCTCGTACCTTATCTCATCAGGGTCACTGAAAAGGTGCGAGGTAACCCGACCATACACCAAGGGGCACGGACGACAGTTTCCACATTTTTCTAGAAATCTGCATGCGTGCTGATTATGATTTCAGAGCATTCAGTAAAAATGTAAAGAATTTTAAAAGCCCTGAAGTGCTCTGGGTGACTGCTTTCACCTGAGGTGTAAAACCAGGAACATGGCTAAAGGGCGGTGGTGAGTGGCTAACTTATTACAGCAGAAAAGGCTCTACTCATGAGATGTCACTGGGAAAAATTACACGCCCAACCACGACTACAAAAATATTTTGACACTCTTTATTCATAAAATCCTTTGTAAGAGGAATCACCTCATGCCCTACCTCCCCTGAAAAGAAATCGGGACCTCAACAACACCCAGTCTAATTTTCAGCCAAGTATTTGACATGTTTGTACGAACGGTGATTAACACATTCATAAAGACAGGGCCCTGGCAGATAAGCGGGCTTTTGTTCCCTTCTGTGGCTCTCTGTGATTTTCTGGGCCAGTGCCTTACTTATCAGCTGCTGGTCACATGCTCCTGCAGCAGGTGACAACACGAAATGCAAAACAGCCCGATTGTGCAAGGGACACCTAGGGCAGCCAAACTATCAGCTATGGCGCCCCAAAGTGGAACCATTTCTGAAGTAGTTTTATCTACTCTTGGCTGCTTGAAAAATTACTCATCTGTGTATGTTTTGCCAGTTGTCCTTTACTGATAGCAGAGCATAGAACTTCTAATAGAATAGATTTCAAGTTTGGCGTGGTGGCCCAGCACTCTGGGAGGCTGAAGCAGGAGGATCACAGGTTCAAGCCCAGCCCTGGCAAATGATGGAGAACTTGTTTCAAAATAAAATATTTACAAAAGGTCCGGGGATTTAGTTCAGTGTGGAAGCCCCAGGTTCAATCCCCAGTACCACACACACAAAAAGAACTGATTATGTACTTAATCTCTGGTAATCACTTCAACACCTTCTCTATTTCTCTTCAACTTTGTCTTTCTGGTAACAAGCTCACACACTTGGCAGATGGGCCTGTGTATGGGAAGGCTGCTCTCTGGAATTCCTTCTGCTGTTTTATCTGTACAAGTTCTGTACAGGGATTTAGCTGCCGCCTGCCTCAAAAACTAAACTTTATAAATGCACTGTCACAGGCAGCTTGGGGTAACCACAGAAGCACCCTGTATGCCACGATCCTGATAAATCAAGCCACGAAGATACCAAGAGGGGGCCTGGCTGCTGCTCAGTCCCCCCACTAGGGCCTTCGGTAATTTCTGGGACGCTGCGATCCGTTTGGGATTCTGGGCCAGCCCTCTCCCCACCACCCACAGATCAGCACAGCATCCTGGCCGCGCTTCCCACGAGGCTGGGTTCCACTGGGTCTGAGTTCCCCTTCCACCCACCTCCGGGCAGAGGGGCTCTGCAGCCCTTTCTCCCTCCAGTATCCACTCCGTTTCTCAAGTGCTGCGCTTGGGGGACCAGGAGCTGACCCTCACCCTGCAGGACCCGTGCACCACACGGTCACCGCAACCCTGGAGGTGCTGCAAGGGAAGGGGCCAGGTGTGTCTTCTCTCTGCACTGGGGAAGGCAAAGGAAGAGGACCGAGAACCACTGCCCAGAACCAGTCTGTAAATGCCTAGGGATGGGAGGGATGTACAGAGTGGACCCTGGCACAATTAGGCTGCTCTCTCTCATCTTCTTCTAGATCTTTCTGGAGTTTTTCAAAACCCTGTATTGGTCACATGGAGATTTGGAGACCGCCTTTATTCCTTCCCTGTGTGCTCGTGCGTGCAGAGCTACATGGGGATAGCAGAGCTAGGGGGAAGCAAAGAAGTGTTTGGAGGCCTCTGCTAAGATACAGGCTCTCCAAAGCCCCTCACCGAGGAGGAGCAGTGGCCCTGGCCCACTATTCTCTGTCACGGAGCAGCAATCAAGCTCCACTGAGCTCCAGTGGAGGAGTGAGTTAAGAAACTCAAAGAGCAGCAGCCTCAAAGTCAAAGCTCTGTGTTCAGGTTACACCCTCTGGTCCCTTTTGATAACATCCCAGATGCACAGCAGCGTGTTCGGTTGTCATGGTGATGAAGGGGGACAGGAAGAGGCTGCAGAATGCGATCCTCCACTTGGCCTGCTCCTGAGAGGCCAGGAGGGTGGTGCTTCAGGAGGTCAGGCTCTTGCCAGGTTTGCGAGACTACGTGGATCGCACCGGTCCCCATTTCTGCCACTTTGCCCTCAGCCTGGATTCAGCAAAGGGAAGAGGTCGGCTGGGGTGGCCGCCTGGGACCAGGTGACCGAGGAAGGGCGGCGTTGGGAAGGAACAGCAGGAAGAAGCTGGGTAGGTGAGAAGAAAACCCGATCTCATTCAAACCAGAGCAACTCAGGACAATTACATTTCTTCAGTCAGAGAAGGGACAGATTCTGGTGTAAACCGGCCGTTACCCGGGGGCCTGGCTTGCTCCTGGGTCAGCACCCAGAGTCCTTTGTATCTGTGGATTTGGGACTGAGCTGGAGCGGCCTCGAACAGTACTCCAGGAAGAAGGGTGCAGGGCTCAGGACCTGGGTCTCTACCTACGGGGATTCTCTAAGGAAGAGCCAACAACGTTCACCTCTTCTGAAAGGACTGGACACCACTGACCCCCGGGACAGGGACAGACTCCTTGACCCTCCACTGTGACTCTTGCAGCTCTGAGAATGAACCAGGCAAACTCTGCCACCCCGATACCACGTGCACCGCCCAGACTGTCAGAGCCACCAGCCCCTCCTGCGAGGGTGACTGCCCGGCAGTGCGTGGACCAAGGTCGGCCGACTTTTCTCTTTTCCAAGGTCAAATCCATGCATCTGGCCTGTGGGAAATGGTCCTCTGGCTTCTTCGGTGGGATTTACAATTCTTCACAGATGTGATATGCGTATTATTTGTATGTCCTTTCGTAATCACAGAAGCAGTGTGCAAGCAGGCCTGCCCTCTGAAACAAGGAGAGCCTCAGAGACAGAGTGCACTCGCACTGGAGAACTGGGAGAGGGCACGTGACGGGGCCAGCACAGGGCACCTCAGAGTGACAGTGCAGTTGACCACTCTTGCCTGTCCCAGGCATCTCCATACACCTGGGAGGACCACGTTTCTGAATCGACTAAAACACTGAAAACGTAGGCTGAGGGTCCATTGGGGCGTGGGGCAGCCAGCCGGCTGGTCACCCAACGGGCACGACAACTGGCCAGTGTCCCAGTCTTTTAACCTTATCCCAACGGCAGCTCACAAACCCAGCCCTGCAGCTCAGAGGGCAGCATCCATGAGACAGCTTTAAGTCAATTTTTTAAATGAGTAAGTTACTTTTTAAAGTGCTTTTGAAAGTACGAATAGAATCATTGCCGTGAATCCCCCTCAGACTCTCCCTCATTTTGAACACACTGATCCCACCCTTCCTGCCCCTTTCTGAAGCAGCTCTGGAGTCCTCCACTGGGTCTTGACACTGGATCTTCAGTGCCAAGCCTGCCTCAGTGTCCTGAACTGATTCAAAACACTTCCCTCGTGGGAGTTTTGACTTTGGCAAAGATCTAGAAGTCACATGGTGCGAGATCTGGTGAATAAGGTGGACGAGGACACGGTTTCATGTTTGTACGAGCTGCCTTCCCACCAGATGACACTCAACAGCAGCGTTTACCATGTTCTTATCATCATACCTAGTGAAGACAGTCACAAAAAAGGATTTCGAGAGCTTCTTCAGAAAGCACCAAGAATGACCAGATAAGTGTGTTCCAAAGGAGGCAGAGGACTTTAACGGAGATTCATGACAATGTGTTTTCCACGGTAACAACTATTTTTAAAATTTAGACATTCACTGTATATTTTGATCAGCCCTTGTACATGGCAGAGTTCTGCAGGGCCAGTCTAGTTCCCCGCAGACACTGGGTCCTGTCCACACTGGAATCGCCCGCAGCAGGACAGAGGTAACCAAGCTGGAAGGAGTCAGCCATGGCTATGAGTGCTGGATGGTGAGCAGGGAGGAGTTTGCATGCTCTGGCTGTGCCCTTCCTCCCTGCCTCCCAGGACCGGAAGCCAGCCATTCTTGTAGGCTAGGGAAGAGAACACTGCCAGCCCAAGTGGCCACAGCTGTCACAGGACAGTGCCAGGCAAAGAGCAGCTGGGAAGATTCTTTATTCCTGCTGCTGGCCTCCCTGGCCCCAGATTCCCCACTGGAAAGATAGAACTTCCAGCCCAGCATCTTGGACCAGCCTAGCCAAGAAAGGTACAGTCCGGACATGTGACCAACCTCACCCTGGGGGCTGGCCTGGGTCTAGGACGAAGGCGTGAGTTCTAAGGCAGTCTGACCACGCTGCCCAGGCTCACCATGCCCACAGCTGTGAGGCAGGAGTGAGGGCACGGAGCTGACAGGCTGTCATAGGCCCCACTGAGGGGACAGACTCTGAAAAGCCCTCCCTCTTCCACCCTCTCCCAGGCACAAGTGGGACCCTCGCACGGTGGAGCCCTCATTTTTGCCATCTGAGCTACGTTGTTCTTTCCTTTCTGCACCAATGGCTTCTGGAGTTTGCAGTTACTCACTTGGGTACGCTGCAAAATCTAGCACTAAGTTAAACATGTACAAGTCTCTGTCTGTCTCTCCAGCCCCCGCTTGTTCTACTGAAACATCTAGAACTCTGAGCAAACATTTGCTCTCGCTCACCACTGTGCCCTCTGTGGTTGGCATGCAAGAGGCACCCAAAACACAAACAAGCCAAGCCGAATGGCCACCCAGGCTTTCAGGCTGTGCTTGAACTTGTAATCTTCTTTCTTGCCTCAGCCTCCCAGAGTCCTGAGAGCACATGCTCACACCACCGTTTCCAGCTCACACAAACATTCCTAAGATGGACAGCGTTTCAGAGTCTGGTTCATCTTGAAATTCCCAGAATCCAGCTTCATGCTCGGCACTAATAGATGCTTGATTCATGTTTATTTTTGCATGAATGGCATGTCATTTCCTAATTAAAGAAATTACTTGGAAAGAAATAAGGTAAGATTTAGAGCTAAACATTACCTATTCATGGTTCTGCTCTGCAAACTTCTCATGAGAAGCTGGGGATTTGGTCCCTACTGGCTCGGGGACCCTTGTGGGGACAGGGTCACAGGAGTCCCTCCATTAACTGGAAAGTGGACATCTTCCTTATTCTTTGCCTGTCTCCAGAGCAGCTAGGGAAGGCGCTAATTTGCCCCTAATCCAGAGGTTCAACCCCTTTTGTGCAGTCTCTGAAGGCCATAGTCAGACTGGATTTAGTTTGCAAATCAGCAGAGGCAGCAATAAGACTGCTGGAGACTCACGTCAGACCCAGGGTCCGCAGTTTTATCAGGGGACCTGTGTCCTGGGGGTCTCAGCAGGACCCGGGGTGGGCGGACATCTGTCCGTGGAGCGAGGGCACAGGGCTGTTGGCATACCTGGCCTAGTTGTAATTCTTTGCGTAGCTTCAGGATATACTGAAGTATTTGGGAAAATAAAAGCCGCACCCCCTGCAGACAGAAGGAAAAACAAAACACGTGAAGGTCTTTGTCGTGGCTGTGAACTCAGTGTCAGTGCCAAATCTACTTTGCCCTGGGACGCGGCAGGAGGGGACTCTGGCACCTGCCTGAGACCTAGGAGAGCCAAAGGAGCACCGGAAGGAGCAGAAACAGGGTTCTGAGCAGGAGACGGTGCAGAGGCCACTTTGCCCCTAAACTCTCATGTTTTACAAAAATTCTATGGTGTTTTTTTTTCCAAATTATATAAAATCCCATAAAATAGTTTACAGCACTCTTGGAAAGTAGAACCAAAGAATTGCAAATATTTCGCCTAAGACTATATGGATCTTATTAAAAATTAATCCATGTCTCTTTTCTAATGCACATTTTCTTTCTCTCTTTCAGTCAACTCTCTTATCTTCGGCCGAGAAAATTCCCTTTGCAACCTTCAGTCCATTTGGAATTTGTTGTCCTGCTCTTTGATTACTTCTGTGCCTAACAATAACAGAATTAATGAAGTCAGAGCTTTTCTGAAATTTTCACTCACTGTTAAAAGACTTTAGTAAGCAGTGTAGTGTACAATGAACAGAAAATGCAGAATATGGGTATCACTCAAATGTGTTTCCTAAGTGGGGGAATGACTTTGTCTAAGTTTTCAGTTATTTCTGCCCTGAGATCCCTAACAGGTCAATGCACACTACATAAACCAGAAAGGTGTAGTACAACCTCAAAGCTTTTGTTCTATGCTACGTCCAAAGCACAATGTTTTGAATAGAGAAGACAAAGATAAACCAGAAATTTCATGGTCATATTCACACTGAGACTCATTTACACTGCACGTTTTAAAATCAAAGGGTAACTATTTGGAACACTGCTGTGTTTCTCTGTGGGGCCAGCCCAGGAGCTGGCTTATTGCTCGAGAGAAAGTTGACAAAGCCTGCTGGCCATTCTTGTCTTCCAGCTGTCCTGGGCCACCTCGGAGGGTCCCCCGAGGCCACATCAGGGGTAGCAGCTTATGGCCATGCTTCTGTGGGGACTCAGTCAGCTGGAGGCAGTGGATGCAAACACAAAGCAAGAGCACCTTTCAGAGAAGCGGGCCCTGCCTGTCAGCCGGAGCCCGGGACTGAGGTTAGCTGGGACACAGCGCAATGTTAAAGCCCTAGGAGGCTAGGCACGGGTAGAAACCAGTAAAGGACTAGAGGTTAGAAACAGCAAAGGAGGCATGGCGTTAGGGACCAACTTCGGATCTACCAAGGTTACAGCAGCTTCCCTTGGAACAAAAGCTCACAGGAAAACAACAGACACCGCCTCCTGCCTTTTGCAAATCTACAAGTCTGCACCAGCCCTCTAAGTAAAGTCTGATGGCCTAAAGGTGTATCAGAAAGGAAAAAACCCAACTCTGACTTCTCCTAGGGAACATCCCTTTGGGAATAAAAATGGGGAAAACGGAGATCACTCAGGGCCTCTTTATATCACCCATGCTTTTGGTTTCTGCAGTCAGTGCAGCGGATATATTGGGACCGACAGTGCAGGGGCGTAATCCAGCAGAGAGAGGCTGCAGATCCCCAAGATGGGGAAGGAGGTGCTCAGGCACCCAAGGGCTTCCCCACCCAGGAGTGTTCCTGCATCCACCTCCAGTTCGGCCTTCTGATGCTGCGACTCTGACTGAGGGCCTCACAGGAAAGCAGGCAGGCCGCTGCAGCCAGGACCCTAGGACAGACCCCAGCTCACCCTGCTTACCCTGGGGCAGGGCGGGGCCGGCCTTACCTGTGTTTCTAGCATGCATTAACCGTGGAGAGCTTTGTAAGGCTTTATCGACATCATCGGAAGTCAAATGTGGAAGAGGAGCTACAAAACAAAACAAAAAGCAACATCAACATGAAAAAGACAGAGAATTATCTGTAACAAAAAAGGAAGGAGAACAGAAGGAAAAAAGAAAGAAAAAC